TCAATCGCAACGTGATTAAACGGGACGCTTCATATAACTCCTTGTCTGAAAAATTTACAAACATGACAAATAATAATACAATAATAGAATGTGTAAAATATATTCAAATAAATATGGCACTTAACTATATAGTATAAAAATATGTTTTCTCTTATTCTTTTTAACATAAAAAATCCAATCATAAATACGCTACAATTCTTTCATAAGATTCTTTCCCAAGATACTATAAGCTTGAGCTTATATTATTATTATAGCTACGATTATGGCTCAACTTATAATCGTAAGCGTTGTTAGTGAAGTTTTTACTCAATCGAATTTTCGACAAAGGGTTATTATATATTTCTAATTTCGTGTAAAACTGTATAGATGTACATTACATTATACATTACAATAGTATCGTATTAATAAAAACTAAGAACATACATTACATATCAAAGCAATATATCTATAGAATAGCTACAAAACACACATATAAAAATTTTCCGTTTATTGATATTTTGTTGAGCGTGTCAATTTTGGACGCCAAACTGTGACCAAACCGTTTATACCACGTTCACCCAAGCCGCCTATCGCAAGAGTCTCATTCAGATAGTCCATCTGCAACATAAAAACATGAACAATTACATACTATATTATCTAATGCAATGTACATTACTGCAAGATAAAACTTACAAAGATAATAATAAAAATTTAAATTAAACATATTTACAAAGATAAAAAATCTGATTTCATCATAATTAAAATTTAAATGTAAGTAAATTTTTTTTTAATTTTTAACGTTCGAAGTGTGTCTTGCACTTATCAACTGTCATTCTCATTTTATACGTAGATACTTCACGAATTTTTTTCTACAAAGTCAATGATACATTTTCGACAAATTTTACGCGTGTAATACTCACGCTGTGGATAGCGCGGAACGCTGAACGTAAAGTAGCGATGGGCTCTGGCGGATCCGTAGAGGTCGAAATTCTGACGGGGTCGAATAGAGAACTCGTTATCAGGCATCCGTGCGTCAGACGCACCCCCCGTTATCAAGGCCGTATGCTCGGTGGAATAAGATTTCACTAGCTCAATATCGTTATTTAGATTTAGCATGTGCAACTTCGCCTTGTCGTCCCCGACGCAAACCCAATTATCCCGTCGCATACTCATGCACGTGGGGATCGCTTCATCTGGAATCTAAAAGGTGCACCTTCGACATCATAATCCCGTCTTATTTCTCGATGTTAAGACTAACAGGATGACATTACTGTGATAGACCTCATGATTCGTTCAGTTCTCTGATCCCAAATGGATACCGTCTCGTCCAAGCTAGCGGACAGGATGTATTCTGCGTTCATGGCCAGGTTAGTCACTATTCTGTTGTGGGGTCGGTACTGGCTGATCGGCTTATTACTACTCGATCTCGAATCGTACACGTATATTGTTCCGTCGACTGAGCCGATCGCAAAGCGGGCCTGCTCCGGACACGATGA